ATGTGAAACACAGAATCTTAAGAGTTTTTATTTGTAGAAATAAATGAACAAATTTTTGTCCCCATCAAGGTGTCACAAGAAATTCGGTAATAAAAGGGGAAAATGCAAATCCTAAAGTCATCGAGTGCTTTGCTCCTAATTCCAAATAGAAAACAACAAATAAGTATTGTCAGGTTCTGAAACCTGTATATATACTCGTAAAACCAAAGTGCAAGAAAGCTGTAGATTTCTCATTTACAAGTTTAATGCTCTCAAGTCTTTCCTCCAGGGAAACCTGATGTGATCAATCATTGAATTTAATTACACAATTCCACTTCAAGTAGTCTAGATTCAGTGTGCTTCGTCTCAAACCATCCTTGAGAGACAGAATTAACCTTGTTTTTTACAGTACCGTAGCAGCTAGTTAGAATTTAGAAACACTAGCCGTCCTTGACGTTAGTGTGCCTTCCCTACTCGTCTCCTCTGTAATAGTCTGAAGAAACATTGTTCATCATAAACGACATATTTTAGTAGATAAATATATGAAGACCAATCAAAAAGTCTCTAAGAATAAAATATCTTAGCCCTCTGTATATCAAATCAGAACCTGAAAGGTAAAAGAATGTACATAATTTTCAAATATACAAACTGCTAAAGTAAAAAAACCCGAAAATGTCCTTTAATTCAAAGCTCTGTCCGGGCCACTGTCAGTGGAAGTGTGCCAGGGGCCGGTCCTCCACGCAGGTCGCTCCTGCCTGCTTCTACAACAAAGCAAAAGCCAACATTAGCCAGTTGGCGTATTCTGAACTTTAATTAAACAAACACTGTTGCTCATCTGGACATTGTAATTCAAGGAATAAATGAACAGAAAACTTTAAATAAAACGTACATCTAAAAATGGCCACCCATTCCATACAGGCAAGGAAAGGATATAAACATCTTCCTCACATCCAGTGTGAGATTTTCCAGTATGAGCCTAATCAACATTAATCTGATCAGCTTGGTGCTATAAAAAGAGATGCAGTCTGAGGTAGTGATGTTAGAGTAGTTTTCAAAAGTGAAACAAGTAGCTGTGATGATGAAAATGGTGTCACCGCCCCCATAGCCAGCATTTACTGGGCAATATATATTGATCCAACAAGGTAGAGACTATATGTTATTCTCATTTTACAGATGAGGAAGCAGGCAGAGAGGTTCAAGTATCTTGGAAGAGGAACTGGTATTCTAATATAGACAGTGTNCAGTGTCACTGGCTCATGTGGGAATCGAACCGTTGCTCAGAGCTTGCGCTCTTAAGCCAACTCTTAACCAATTGAGCCACTCAGCCGGCCCTCATGTTAATTTTTAAAAATTAATCATTGTACATCTTTGTTTACAGGATTTTTACCTCCTATAACTCCACCAGAAAAGTTTTTTCTTTCCCAGCTGATGCTGGCACCCCCAAGGGAACTCTTCAAAAAGACCCCGCGACAGATTGCACTGATGGACGTCGGAAACATGGGCCAGTCTGTGGACATTAGCGGGCTTCAGCTGGCCTTGGCTGGTAAGGAGAAAGCGGTAGTTTGGGCATTCTTGTGTGGCGGCATTGGGCGTTTTTTCGTGAGGTACACCACTTAAAATGAAGGTCTTTGTAACTGTGCGAAAAGGTTACTATCTTCCATGAAAAATGTAGCTTCAGTACTGGGTACTGGCTAATATGGCATATAAATTCATTTTGAGTTTTCACTTGAACAGATTCCTTTTCCAACTTAAGAAGATAAAATTTAGTATGTTTAAAAAATAAAAAATTTTTTGTCATGTCAGTTCTACTCAAAGTGACATCACATATTCAATGCAATTCCTATCAAAGTTACAGAAATTGAAAAACCCACCAAAAAATTCATATGGAATCTCAAGGGACACTGAATAGCCAAAACAGTGTTCTTTTTGGCACCCTTGTTGAAAAGCATTTGACCATATGTGGGAGGGTTTATTTCTGGTGTCTGTTCTGTATCATGGTTTATATGTCTGTTTTTATTCTAGCACCACACTTTTGATTATGGTAGCTTTGTAGTAAGTTTTTTTTCCTTTATTTTTTTCTTTTCTTTATTTTTTGTTTCTTTTTGTTATGTAGTAAGTTTTTAAATCAGGAAGTGTGAGACCTCCACTTTGTTTCTCTGTTTCAAGATTGTTTTGGCACCTTCTGTGCTACACATGTAAGCAAATGAATGGATGGTCTTGAGGCAAAGCGTGTCATGATAGAAAATAGGGGGACCTTCTTGAACTGGATAGTCAGCCTCTGATAAGTGAAGGAGAGGAGGCGCCTTCTGCTTGCCCGCTCTAAGCAAAAATCCGATGCGTGGGTCTTATCACTTGAGAGTGATTCATTAGGGAAATTTTAATATATAGCCAAATTTATATATTGTGATTGACCTTGTGATTAAATGAGCCGCAGTATTAATTTTGACAGTGCCCCATCCTTAGACTTAATGCACCTGTGACATTTGGCTGCTTATATAAGGTGACACCTTTCAATAAACTGCTGTTTCCTGGGAGCATTTTGAGCCTCACTTTTTAACTACTGGATATTGCTATAATAATGGTTATTTTCTAAAACCAAGAGAAGTCTTTTTAAAATTGAAGGGTACACAAAAGTACTTATTAGCCACTAGTGCCAGATACAATATGTCTATTAACATAAATACAATGATTGTTTCCTTAACCAAAGATAGTATGAAAACTGGGTACAGAGGTGATAGGCAATTTCAGTTCCTCATCTTTGGAAGTGATGTGTGTTCTGAGAGCTCTAGCTTTGTGTTCAGTAAAGGGAGAACCAAATCTGACCCCCTTTCGACTTAGGTGACTTGAGTCAGCCTGTGAGAAAGAGTTAGAGGATCTCAAGCTCAGAGAGGAATACAGAGGAGTACAAGCTCAGTTAGGACTGAGAAGCTTGGCAGAGTAGTTAAACTTGCTGCCTACTGTTTCTACCCAGATTGAAGATGTGCTAATCCATTCATTTCACAAGTGCAAAAAAAAAGTGAGTACACCTATCTTCTCTGGAGCTAGCTACATAGATGATGTCTGCAGAGGCCTGGAATTCAGATTTTATAATGGGATCCATGGACCAAATGTGTGTGTATGTGTGTGCATGTGTGTCCATTCATTGATGGACACCTAGGTTGCTTCCATATCGTAGCTACTGTAAATAAATAATGCTGCAGTGAACCTCATGAGGGTACATATGTCTGTCTGAATTAGTGTTTTCGTTTTCTTTGGATAAATACCCATACATGGAATTGCTGGATCATAAGGTAGTTCTATTTTCAGTTTTTTGAGTAACCTCCATACTGTTTTCCATAGGGCTGCACCAGTTTATATACCCAACAACAGTGTGTGAGGGTTCCCTTTTCTACACATCATTGCCAACATTTATCATATTGTCTTTGATAATAGCCATTCTGACAAGTGTGAGGTGACATCTCATTGTAGTTTTGATTTCCATTTCCCTGATGATTAGTGATGTTGAGCACTTTTTCATGTACCTGTTGGCCATTTGGATGCCTTCTTTGGAAAAATGTCTGTTCAGATCTTGTGTCCATTTTTAGATTGGATTGTTTTTTTGCTATTGAGTTGTATGTACGTATGTATTCCATATAGTAGAATACCAGGTTCTTCATCCATTCTACTGTTGATGGACATAATGTTGCTCTGAACATTCTTGTATATTCTTCTGGCATACATGTGAAAGTGTTTCTTCTAGATGGAAAGGTAAGCACATGTAAAACTTTACTAGGTAACGACAGATTGTTTCCAAAGTTGCCGTGCTGTTTTTCATTCCCATTAGCAGTGTGTGAGTGACCAGACATCCTCTTCTGATTTGATGTCAGGCTTGTTCATTTTTGCCAGTCTGGTGGGTGTATAACAGTATCTTGTGTTTTTATTGATTTTCCCCTGGTCACTAGAGGAATTGAACATATTTTCAGATGTTTAATGGCCATTGAAGTTTTTTGGTTTTTTTTTAATAAAATGATTGTTTTGCCCATCTTTTCCTACTTTTAAAAATGGTTTTGGGCCGCCTGAGTAGCTCAGTTGGTTAAGAGCACGAGTTCTGAGCAGCAGGGCCGCCAGTTTGATTCCTACATGGGCCAGTGAGCTGTGCCCAAGCTGAGTTGCCGCTGAGCTGCCAACAGGTGGCAGGATGGCTCAGCTGTTAGAGCACATGCTCCTTACAA